AAAAAACACTAAACAGATTATATTCAAAATTATTTTAGTTATATAGGTCCGGGAGTTAATGATTCTACACATGTTTAAAAGTAAGAGGGTCTTAATATAAATTGTACCTTATATTGTATCGTATAGGCATATAATCTTTTGCACCCGGTTTGTAATATGTTGGAAACTATAAATAATTTATATGTACTGTTTGAAAAAAAATATGTGTATAGCATATAAAGGCCTATGTTTAAAAACATGCTTTAGTTGGGGTGCTGAATGGTTTTAATTTTTTTTCAATTAAAATTGAATTTTGTTTGTGTTTGATTCTAAAGTTAGTTATTTCTTACATATTTAACAATAATAAACAGTATCATTAAACTGACACATTCTTTCTCCCATTAGCTTTTCAACAACCCATTATAATGCTTACCATAATGATAAGTGGTGGTAGTAACTATATGGTATTTTATGCGTTAAATCGCAAAACTTGCATAACTTTTGTACCGGAATTTTGAAAGCGTTGGGGGTTTTAACATTCAGCATATAGCAGAAAGGACCATAACATACATCATTTTAATCAACATTGTTTGAAAATAAAAAAAAAACCTGGAGATACAATGGCCTGATTCAAAATGTTATCAAAATCGAACCAGAGGTGTAGCTCTGTACACACCCACACGCACACACATACACACGCACACAGACGGAAGAAAAACACACAGACATCACATCGAAAACCATTTTTATGAGTTCAGCGCGACTTTCTCCATGTACTTTGATTGAATATAATATACAACTCTATAGTTATTTATATATGTCTTAAAGAGTGTTATATTTTCAACGGTGTACTAGGTATGTCTGAGAGAAAGTATAAATATAGGCTAACATAATTATAGTCTTTTACTTGTGTATTTCTGTCCATTAAAATAACCAAACTGGACCAGCTTAGCAATTTATACTAAGCATGCTTACATGTAAGAACGGGTCTATCCGCTTAATTAGGCTGGAGTTTAAGAAAAGGAAATTGCATACAAAATCATTGATTACGAAACAGCTAAACTATTTTTACTGGCCTTATCAATGAGATCAAGTTGAAGTTCTTGTAAAATTATAAAATTATCGTCTGAATAGTTTTTTTGCATAACCTCCTTAAAAATATCTTTATGACGTAAGTGATTTTTAATATATCAACTTTTATGGAACAATCAGCGAAAATATTTATATTTCCCTCCTCATTTTAAGGTAAAAATGATTTTAGTTAAATAGCAAACATGTAAGCATCACAAGATACCAACTTTACAATTAATAAAATATATAATTTAAAATATCTTGAAAATAACATTCAATTAGAAACAGTAGGCCTACTAGTACTTGCGCTATTTATAAAGTTCATTTGCAAGATTCTTAACTACGTGTAAGTATCAATGTTTTATTTTTTCTCAAGGTGTAACCTATAAATTTCTTCATACAGTAACTCTTTTCATAAGAGTCTTATTTTTTCCTTTAGTTCATTATTCCGACTCATTTTGGTTTACACTTGTTGGTGCAACTTCGCAATTAATTTACCGTTAAATCGTCTACAAAAATGTATCAGTAGCGAGTAAAACTTTAATTAAATACAATAGCTAATCAAATGCATAAGTCAAACTAAGTTTCAAGTTTAATCAGTTTTTTTTATATTTATAGCGTTAAACATTTTGGCAAGATAGTGATTCTTAAACAACTAAAAAGGTCTTTGAGATAACTAACTGGATATAACTGCCTTTATTACCATTGCAGTTTGATCTTCTAAAGAGTTGGACAGACTTTGTAATGTTGAACTTTCATAGTGTAATTTAGATGGTTTCAGATGTTTAAATGGGTTGCTTTGTTATCAAAATGTACTATATATTTCTTGTATCTCAACTCCTGCTAAACACCAGGATATGAGATTATACAAAGTATTCTACAGCAAGAATAAATGGACTGATATGTAGATTTATTTATCATAATGGAAAATAAAATGACGACAATTTCAAGATCAGGTGTATGTTGAGGTTGTGTTTTTGTTTATCATTAGTTTGTTATTATTCAAATAACTCTAAAACTATTAGTATGAGTTTTAAAGTAGGCTTTAAAACAAAATAGGATTTAAAGTGTTCTTGCACGATTTTACGTCAATATGTTAAGTTACTGTGGTTACAGTATCAGCAGAACAGAACAGCTATTAGGAGTCAGGTACCACCATTATTTATCAAAGTCCACATATTTTCTACAATCAATTGCATTACCATCTAAAAACGGCCAGAAAATAGCAATGTTATTATTGTGTTGAACTTGTATCAAGACGTGCAACACTTAGCTTTGTAAAATATTTCAATTGAATATTTCCTTGAGTTTTGTGGGAGTTTCAAGTCAATTCCAACCAAGAAACGTAAACAAATCAACAAATGAACTATAACATTGAGGTTTTAGTGACCAAGGAGACTTGGTACACTTCCACTTGTTACCCAATACTTACTTTCTAAAACCCTATCACGACTACAAACCCCTAACCCTACCTCTACCGATTGAAAACATATCTAAATGGTAAACATATCTTAATGGTAATTGTAATAGTGGGCCTATGTTTGTGCAGAAATCCACCTAATTTCGTTTTGTGATGGAAAAATGTACAGTCGCACATTTAGTTTTCATAACAGTACAGTACAAGTAGATATATCAGCGCTTTGCAAACGAATATGAACCCATAGGTATATAAAATACCGTTGAATACGACTACGAAAAGAGCTAATAATTACTAGCCATATCAGAACTTCCATCTTTATAATATTACCATTTGAGACATCACCAGGTAAACAATATCATTTAGTTGGACGATATGACGTTTACTACTTTTGGTTTTATGGATGTGCACAGTAAAATAGAAGTTATTTTAATGCTATCTCTGGACCTGTCCTTCACACGGGAATCAAGTAGCAAGTCAAAACTGTATATTATGCAGAACGCCGGTTTACATAATAAGAAAATTCTCCAAGTTTGTGCAACGATCACAAAAAACAAATGTCACATGCAAATCTTTAAAAGAGGAAGTATGTGTGTATATATACAGATATGCATATTTCGTATGAATTCTGAAACCACTCGACAGAATCTAATGAAACTTTCAGGCATTTTTAAGCACCATTAACAACTAGGTGAACCCCGTCGAAATCGACAATTACTCTTGAGGTTTTACATAAATTCAGCTAACTGCGACAGATAGAGTGAAGTGATTAAAAACAAAATAATCAGTAAGACGATTGTGTACCTTAAAAAACGTGGTTAATGAATTTGTTTAATTCAATAATTTCTGTTCTTTCATCGGCTTTAGGTTGCCCCAAATGATTTTCAGGAGTCTTACAATTGTTTCTTGTGCATGTCTTTTGTTCATGTTAAAGCCTCTTTCACTATATTGGGAAAGGAGTTCATATAATTGGTTTGTCATCTGACGGAAAGAGTCAATATTACTAAAATAACTGGTTCCATCTGCTTTAGGAAAATCATTCGGATCGTATTTGGATTTTATAAGTGAATCACCATCTTTGGTCATAAAAATACAGAAGTTTATCAGCGGGAGGCATATTAAAACTGTTTTTTTGTATATATATATATCTGATCCTCCAGAAAGCAGTAACATTCTTACTTAGACTGGGGTCTAAATAAAACAATTTTGATTCCTTCTCTTGCCACATCAACATCGAGTATTTAATCATCATGTACTTATTTGCTAATTGATTAATTTCTGAAGTAGTTTTTTTGAAATATTGAGGTTTGAAATGGTTTGAAATTGTTTTGAAATGGTTTTTGGTGAGGTTGCTGTCAAACTTGAGCTTTATTGATATGCAAGGGTCAATTGCCTTGGCCGCATCGATCACATAATGTTGTGCATGTATTTTGTGGACGGGATGGACCAGTGAATTTGACCACAAATCTTGAACATTAGCGGAACCCTTTAACCAATCAATAGCTTTTAATACTTATGAAGTCAAACGGGATGAAGCCGTAGCGTGTAACAGCTAGTTTTGAATAAGTCCAAATAAATATATTAAACCTTAATCGCAGCACACCTGTGCATTCAGAACCGTTTAAATGATTCACTATTAATTATAATATGCAGGTGCGTCAAAGGAGCTCAACCCCAGAGGATTTTAAGTTTTGCCGAGATAAATTTTTTAGTTCGAGACGAAGTCGAGAATTTAAAACGATCGAGAAAACCCTTTCGGCCCGTCGTACGAAGGCTATTTTTCTCCACACTATAAAAAATTGAGAAAATATAAACAATATGCGCACTTACACACATGGCGCTTTAAGGTTATTGAAGAAATTTGTAGAGGAATCAGTAAAAATAATATTAAAGCCCCCCAAAGATTATAACTAACCATCGATCTCTATTAGTTGTAGTAATAGAGATCTATGCGCCGAACATGAGAAAATGACAACAGATGGTATAGCAACAACTAAAAATACATCGGGAAAAAATAAATAGGACTAAACAAAAAGGAACCACGAATCAAATTAAAATCATAGTTGGATCCTAACTGATAGTCATGCGAGGTGTTAAAGCTCAGAATTGTCACAAGTTTGGCCAACTAGATTCTGATTCTGATTCCTCCTGGTTAAACAAAACTGCAACCAAATTACTATTAGTTTGTGGCATAATTTTCGGAGCTCCTAGAAAGAGTGTATCTACACTTACTTAGCCTATATCGTTTTGACATGTCCTTTTAGCGAGGAAATATACCTGCCCAAAAGAAACAAAATCCATGCTTAAAGGGTACTTTTGTTGCAGTACAGTATATATTTAAAAGGGACTGATTCTTGTATACCTTGTATAAATAGTAGACATGTTTCCTGAAACGTACACATTCGAATGTTTCTTTTTAGTCCTGAATAACAATCTCACTGCCTCCAAGCTATTAGTACATAAAAACATTGCATACGAGTCAGAGATTTACTTAAACGCATTCTTAAATTAATTAATTTTATTTCATGTCATTTAACAATGTTTGAACCTACTGATTTGATATGGAAAATCAAATCTAAAATATTTAAAGGAAAATAAATACTAAGACAAGCAAATATCACAGAAAACGAACTAGCGGTTGCTATAACCAGAGGTCCTTCATTGGGCAGGAGTTTCAGTAACCATTCTCTCACAGTCCCTCCCTCTATACTGAACATCTAGTCTTTGGCCTCAATAGGCCCTTGTGTGGAGGACGGCTGGTATGCTCTGTAGGCGAGGGTCAGAGAGTCTCCACTGTTGGAGGAACCTGCGGGTAACACGGGGGCGAAGTCTAGGCTCCTGGCATAGGCGTAGGCGTGATGGTGTCCGCCATGTACCTCGTGCTGCACCTCGCTGCTGTGGGTGTGAGCGTGTGTCACTATGGGTTTTGCGACGATCTCATAGGTAGTCTTGCTACTGCCACCGCTGCTTCCGCCTCCTCTCATGGCTGCCAGGGCTGACAGCATGAGTGACAGAAGCGCTGTCATGAGCGCCTTCCCAGCCAGCGCTGCTAGTGCTGACATCCCCACAGCCATCAGTGTGCCGCCCGAGAACAATCCCGCTGTCATCAGCCCACCCAGGCCAGTCTTGCGACGTCTTCCTGCGATCACATCATGAAACACATCATCAGATAACTGAATTGAATTGAATATATCGTAGCTATGTTTTATTGCTCGTTCCAGACAAACTGTATTGTATAGTTTCTAGTTAAAATCTTTAAACTTCTTATGGCTGGTCAAAGATATGTCATAATCATGATATAAAACGGTTTTTTTTCCAAATATAAACTTATGCACAAGTAACAGTTTCAACCATTAGCTCTGAGGTATGAGTGAAATTGGTTTTACCCCTAAGAAGTGTAAGTTATAACGCAATTTGTCATGCAATCTGTTGATTATTGTTAGAAATGCATTGGAACAGGTGCACAATATCCTAATCGTTAATTCGAATAACTGATATACACCACAATGATCAGTTTTTTCGGTTAATTTTTCCAGTAGGCCCAATACAATAAATATCAAACATTGTAGGCCAAAACCGCACTGAGCCTTATATTATATGTTTAACATGCAGTGAGGATTTAACAAAAATAGTCAAGTTTTAATATTGAAAATAATCTCAATATTAGGCTACATAAAGAAAATACACTTTAATTTCTGACTATACACCTTATGAGCCATGATGGTTTCTATTGAAAGAACACCAAAAACACGACGAGGGCTTTGAGTCCACAGACGAGACCCAGTAGCAGACAGTAGGACAACATACCCTCCTCGGTGGTGGGGAGTCCTCGGGTCTCGGCCAGCTGGACACTCAGGGTCAGAGAGGTAAGGTAGCGGCTCAGCTTGGTGACCAGGAAGTCGTCCAGGGAGCGGTCGGCAGAGTCGCGAGCGAGGGCCTGGGCTAAGTCGGCGGGAAACTGCTCGGAGTCTGGGCTCGTGGTGTTGTTGGACCTCACAGATACTCCAGGCAGTAGTTGGATGCTGTCAGGGGTGCCCGATAGGCGGTCAACCAGCCGCACTAGGTCCAGCTTGAGACATGGCAAAGAATAGTGGTGGGCGCACCTCTTTGACAGCATCTGTAACATTAGGTAGGTGTAGGTTTTCTAAATAAACAATTAAGTGTGTAATTCAGTTATAGGTCCTTTACGGTCTTTATACTTTTGTGCCTGTAAAGAAATGATCATGCAACGACGTTCCTAATTATCCTAATTATATTGTAGCAGAACTGCACCCAGCAAGCGTTGTTAATAAATGTCCCTATTTATCTTTCCTCTATACAAAACCCGTCATGATCCGGAATAGGAATGGCTATGGAAAATAATCTCCTGTGGTCACAAATGTATGTCTTTCAACCCTACGTATTATTCGTACTTTATGGGATTGCCTGAAAAAATAAGGTATAGCATAAGTTGCGGTTCAAATATTTCCTCTTACCAATTTGGTCATCTCTTATCTTTTCCAAATCATACGATTGTTCAAGGGTCCGAATTCTCTCGCACAATGAATCAACCTCACTTCACAAATCTCGACTTCCTCAGCGTTAATCAACTTTCGCGTCAGTGCGTTGATTGGCTTGTATAAAGAGATACCTCTAATAAAAATATGTTTCTTTTCATAATCAATAGATAAGTGATGGTCGGGTTGATATGCACTCAGAAATATGACCTAGTATCCGGTCAAATACCAAGTCACCAACCTATATAAATAAAAATGTATCGTTTCCCAACGTTCATTTCCTCGTTGGATTTTATTATGTTAAAGGTGTTTGAGAGTTAAAAATACGAAAGCGAGTTGAATATAAATACATATAGTGGAAGTGGTAATTTAGGTGTTGTTGTTGACGCAACTATTTGTGATGGTCGAGTGACGACTACTCGTCATGCTCGGCCGCCACAGACATTCAATGGTCTAAGTGCGGCTTTTGCTGCTGGATCCCTCTAAATGACGATATTAGACCCGCGTCTCTCTTACAGACCGAGTGACAAACTCTCTCTCTAGAATCATTACCACAGAAATATAGATATTGGAAAGTGTACTGGGAAAGTAGGGAAAACTAGTTCACTATTACAAAAATACGAGAGAATTTTCCGGAATCTGGATGACGGTGAGTTCTATACGAATGCAGTAATTCCCCTATAGTATGAGTCTAAAACAGATATCCAGGTGACCTGAAACTGTAAAGCATTGGGTATTACGCAAATAGCCTACGCATGCTCAAACGTGACGATAATGTGGCTTTGTTTCAAATGCTACACTTATCTAGAAGTATCTTTGGGCAATCATAATTATATTATAGTTCGGCCGCTTAGAAAACGACCTGCGCGCTAATGCTAAACCAATGCTGGAGGAGGTCGCTTTCTAAGCGGCCGAACTATAGTTGCGATAACCACAATAACCGTTAACTGTAAACTTAAGACTTTCTCAAGTTTAAAATTTATTAACTTTATGCTAATTAAACTTAGTTCAATTTCCGTTTTAACGATATGTTTCACTGATTGGTACTTTTAAAGGTTTAACATTTTACAACTATGAGAAGAAATTGTGACTGCTATGCTATGTACTGTAGGTACGTTCATGCTATTTAATATACACTCCATGTTACAATACACCCAAAGCAATATCAACTAAAGTAACAAAACATTACCCAATTCAAAACGATGACTCTACAAAATTACAGTTGATTTTTTAGATACTGAAATTACATCCAAGAAACAAAATACATTTTTAGGATTAACAATTGACCAACATTTAAACTGGAAAAGCTACATAACAATTAATTTGGCAATAAACTAAACTCGGCTTGTTTGTAAATGCTTGTGCTGTGAGATAGAACTGATCTGGATACTATAGTTCGGCCGCTTAGAAAACGACCTCCTCCAGCATTGGTTTAGCATTAGCGCGCAGGTCGTTTTCTAAGCGGCCGAGCTATAGATTAATTTTGCCTATTTTAATTCCATAATGAAATGTATGGAATTTGGCTATGGGGTTCATTGTGTGATTGGAGAAACATATTCAAGTTATTGTTCGCATTATAACATTTTTGCGGTCACGAGTCTCATATAACAATCATTAAACAGTTAGTTAAAAGATATCCCTATCAAAATAGTTAGTTGAGCCTTCCCTCTCTCTATATATATATTCATGCTTACTGTTCATTCAGAAGAATTTCAATCTTCTACATGGACAGCAGCATTTACACGTATACAACACAAGAAAAAAATGAAATGTTCAAATCCGTGAAAAAGGTCCCAGTTACATGGGTATGACGTTTTTTAATAATATACCTGCAAACATCAAAAGCCAAATCTGCTTAAACTGTTATAAGGATAAACTAAAGATTTTTTTACAAATCGTCTTACTTTGTAAGTTAAATTTTACAAAACTAAGCAGTATTGTTGCATGTAATTTTAATTTCTCTAAAAACAGTAGTTTTAAATTTAAATAAAGTATTCTGTAATTTTGGATTAATAATGTAACCAGTTTAATAGCTTTGCTATGTACAAATGTTTTGATTTATTGATGATTAATTATTTTAAAAATAATAATTTGAACCCTTAACTTTTTTCATGATGAAATGTAATTATGGTGTTGAAGAGGGGAAATGGTAGTTAAACTAATTTTTATTGCAAACAAATATTATTTTTAATTTTACAATGTATAATATCTATATCTATATCAATATCTGTATTTCTATATTTCTTATTTAATACGCAAGCAGGATTTTTGTGACAATTACTCCTCCGAAACTACTGAACCGATTGACATGTTTTTGGTCTCATTGGAAAGAGCGTAACGCGAAGTTGTGCAGGAAACTTTCATTTTAGAGAAATAATTTTAGAGTGAGGCCCTGGGGCCCTGTAAAGTTACGTATTTCTCCATAAGATTAACATGGGAAACAAAAATTGTTATGAACCTACAGCTGTGCTGTTGTCAGAAATTCAAAGTGAGAAGAAGAACATAATGTTAATTGTAAACAGTCAATAAGTTTGCTAATTTAACAGTTTGCTACAAACATTTACTGACTTGGTTGAGATGAAATGTGGACTATTTGAATTTGGGTTGGCGTACATATTACAATGGAAAAAAGCAAGAGAGCCTGGATAAATTTATATCTTAAAAATAAAACTGAATTAACACTGTGCTGCATTTCTTAGTAAGCATTGAAAGAGCTGATTTGCAAACTATGGAAACATAGGAAAGTCATAGAACACCACCAAGGAGAAAAAATAGAAATGTTTTTTTTTTATTTATAATCGTTATTATGGGCAATCTAATGCGGCTATGAGTACGGCTATTTGTAGAAAACACTAAAAAACAAGATCAGCTTTTGAAAAATGATAAGACATTTACAAGAAATTGTGATTATATCGATCTGTTGTGTACCTACATCATGAGTATTTCCAAAATCTTTGAGTCGAATCTTTTTTAAAGTCATCAGAAATTATGACTGTTATTCGTTTTAAAATAACGCCTGTAATACTTAGCATTTGCTCGAATTCGAGCAACAGGGACACTAGTTTGTTAAAAACCATGGAGCAGTAAATATTTCATGAGTTAATGCATTTCCCGGTTTGTAGAAAATACTGGACGAAACGTAAGAACAATTAAACACTTTCTTTGGTAATGTGTGTTTTTCTTTAAAAAAATCATCATCCAGTGGTTGGCTTAAACGTCCTTTTAAACCAACTTCACAAATATTTTACATTAAATTTGTCCCTTGCAAATTATTTTTTTTTAGGTTTTACACTTATATTTGTCCTTCTTGTATCTTTTTTCCCCAAGGCAGACGGTCCATCGCGCCTTTTTACTGGGAGGCTAGATCAGTGGACTCAATGGCCGGACATTTCCATCCAATTGGTTTACAGATACTAGGTTATTAATACTAATTATGATAATAAAACTGAGACAATACTATGCGCACGTGGGTACACTAGACCCCCTAATGAACACAGCACTGGTAACACAAGAATGCGGGGGGGGGGGGGGTATGCCTGACCCAGGGTGGTGATAGCAGGTCAATGGCTCGGTCCAAGACTAACAAATCTGTGGCCAGATGATAGTATATGCTATTTTTGGCAGCAAATGTTATGCTCACCAGGGTTGCCACAATGCATGTAAAATTATGACAAAACTACATTATGTGGGGGTATGTCATAACCTGCGCGCGCGCGTTTTAGGGGTTTAATAGTTATCCAACCGCATTTGGTACTATCTTGATAGTGATGCCATTTTATTTTCGGGAGAACTGGGTATCAGACCGTCCATTCCGAGGAAAGTGTGCTCCAGATATTTCCTCACTTCATCGATTGCCGGAATGGTTTCCTCAAGGACCATCACCCTACCATGCAAATTGGAAGATAGAACTATGTTCTAATTCGGTTTCGAATAAGAAGCCCAGAGTCATCCCCAAGTCAGCCCAAAGATCATAAAAACAATTAAATTATATATTCACTATCTTTTTTAACCGACTCCCTAAACTACCAACAAAAGAAGGAGGTTCTCAATTTGTTTGTGGCAATGTATTTTTCTGTGTATGTTCCCCAATTTCTCTGTGACTCTTTTACTGATCAGCGTGGTTCCACCACCAAAATAACCAGGAGAGTTTCCCTTTGGTACCATGTATAACATTATGTTTAAGTGTAATATTTGTTTCGGTGGAAAATGCTGAAAACATTAAATATTCAACATTTGTTTTGTTTATACTGTATATGTGCAGAGAAGTCAATAAATAACAATAATATTCCTACAGCTGTTAGTTAAAACCATTTTAATGAAGCTACAGATAGTTAGTTCTTCATGAAACAGTTCATATTGATTAATACACTATCTTGTCATGGAGGAAAAGTTTTAATTTTGACAATTCCAATTCAACAACTGTTTTACCAAAACATTAAAATGTGCTAATTTATAGCAATGTAGAATTTGGGAAAATTTATTTGTCCCAAATTCTACATTGGTCAGACTGGAAGAGCATTTTCATGCAGATTCAAAGAAAACATCCAAGCCGTAAAATCAAACAATCAAACATCTCAACGATCAATGTATGCAGAACATATATTAGAAAATAATCATAATTATGGCAAATTAGAAGAGTGTGTCAAAATTCTAAATTTTGAGAAAAAGGAAGAAAAATGGATATAAAAGAAGAATTACAAATATACCTACACTCAAAAGAACACGGCGACCAAATTCTCAATATAATGCAAAAACAAAAACAAAAATCCAATTCATGAAAAAATCAGACAAATCAGAGAAGAATCTTACACAACTACATGTTAAAAAATACACCTAACCAATTAATCAAAATTTTACTATGAATTCAAAACATATGTTATTAACTATTTATTTATTTTAATTGTTTACATACTTTCATAACACTCATACTGTGATCATGGCCTTAGTGCCGAAATACGTATCAGTTTAAATAAAAAATGAATTTCAGGTTACTCTGGTTTTTATTATTTTGCTTATTAATATATATTTATATATATACTAGCTGAACCCGGCAGACGTTGTCTTGCCTTTGACTATTTATAATCCCGCGGGCTTTGCCCCGTTTAACTTCTTAATTTTCAAGATGATCTCGTTCGCATGGCTCAATCACGTCCTGGTTGAAGTTCGTTCGCTACGCTCGCTCACCTTTAGGTTGGAGCTCGTTCGCTACGCTCACTCACCTTTAGGTTGGAGCTCGTTCACTGCGCTCACTTGCCTTCAGGTTAGCTCGTTCGCTACGCTCACTTGCCTTCAGGTTAGCTCGTTCGCTACGCTAACTCGCCTCCAGGTTGAAGTTCGTTCGCTACGCTCACTCACCTTTTGGTTGCAAATTAGCTGTTGTCATAAATGTAAAAGAAATAATAGTGCTGCACCCTGTTGGTAATCCTTGTAACTTTAATGCTATTGAACATCATAGAACAGAACCAACTTGTTTAATTGAAACAGCTGTTAAGATTCATTAATTCCATTTCTCAAGGTTAACATGGGAAACTCCAGAGCCACTGGGGCGGAGCCGATTGGACGGATCACGAAATTGATGGTGTATAAACCTATTCCATGACATTCTACACGTATGTACCAAGTTTCGTGGCAATCGGTTCAGCGGTGTCTGAGTTTATCACTGCCAAACAAACAAACAAACAAACAAATATATATACAAACATCCTCTTTTATACTTATAGATATTGAATAAATATATCGTTCACTATTGAGGGCTACTATTATTAATAAATGAAATAAATAATTAAACATTTAGTACCCTTTTTTTAAGTTATTAATTTGTCGTTATTTAAGTTATTAATCAACACCTAAGCCAACCTATATGTGGAGTGTTTGTGAGTATTAATGAAATATTAAGAGAGAAAAAATAGTAAACCATGTTTACAAGAAGAACAGAAAGGAATAATTATTTTTACAATATTATTAATCATTTTTAAATCATCAGCTGTTCTAAACAGGCTAAAGAAAAAATATTAGGTGAAAGGACTGCACATACTCCCGGCCTTGAAGTGTCCTCACTTCAACAGTTAGCCTAGTTTAGAACAAAACACATTAACACAAAATTTGTTGTAGGCCGGCTATAGCTGCTGTTTGCAGTTTTCTACTTCTCATTTTCAACCTATACCATCTTTGCTGGGAAACACCTTAAAAACTGTTGCTGGAGACCACCGAAGTCCTAGCTCTTTGAAATGTTGAGCATCAGAGTTTTGAAGAAACGTTGGTGTTTTATGATGAGATTGAGTAACAGAAGTGAACAAGTCTTGACAGTTCATAACACATTTCTTCAATTCAAAGCACTCTTGTTTCAATAATTCAACAAGTTGAGATTGGAGGATGAGCGCTTCCTCTGTAGTTTGTGATGAAGAGTAGCTATTGGTCAGAGCTCCATCGGAAGATACAACCACTTGACTGGATTGCTTGACTGTCTTTACTGTAGTGGTTGCACTGTGGGTAGGGTTAACGGCAGCACTGTCTATCGTTTGGATAGCAGCCCGGCCAGTAGGATGGGTGACAGTTTTATTAGTAGGGTTTATAACAGCACGGTCACTTGGTATGACAGCAGTGTTGGTAGGATGGATAGTAGCACTGTCACTTGTCAATGTAGTTGAGCTCACTGTTGTGTCTGTATTCATCGGTTGAGGTTTTGTCACTGACACTGTGGTATTTCTAATTTTCGAGTTTGCGAGCTTAGGCATAGTGTTTGCCACCAACCTCGTGATGAGTTTTGTTTCAGGTTGTATAAGCTGGATGCCTTTGGTTTGAAACTCACTTGATGGGTTTGGTTTGGTTACATTCATTGCAGTGGTTCTCGGAGGTTGAGCTGGACTTGATGAGTTCCGGTTGGTTACATTCATTGCAGTTGTTCTCGGAGGTTGAGCTGGACTTGATGATTTCGGGTTGGTTACATTCATTGCAGTTGTTTTTGGAGGTTGAGCTGGACTTGATGAGTTCGGGTTGATTACATGCACTGCAGTAGTTTTATGAGGTTGAGCTGAACTGCAATTAATCTTGGCCAAATAAGGGTTAGAACCAATTTTTGAAAGCAGCACTTTAATGTAGCTGGTGATGTGGATGAATAGTTCACTGATTTGGTCTTCATCTTCAGCTAAAGTTTCAATGTTCAAATCATCTTCACTTGATGTAATTACAATTCGATAAAAATAAGATTCAAAGTCTTCTTTCTTCTTCTGGGTTTCTTGCATGAGAGTATTTAAGGCTTCGTGTTGCACAACTGTTAATGTTTCTTCTTGTTCAAACATGTTGATCTACGATGTTTCTTATTTCGTTGAGACGAGTTTTAATAAAAGAGATGTGAGTCGTGTATAAGTTTCTATTTTAAAATCACTATTTGGAGATGCCATTGTACAAAGATGATGAGATAAATGTAAACAATTCAAAAAGTGTAAATGAGAGAGTTAACAGTTTCAATATGGAAATAAGAGTTCAGTTAGGTAAGAGTTCAAAGGCACAGAAAACAATGGGTAAAATGAGGAAATATTGATGTATGAAGAGTTTTTGTGGAAGAAAGTAATTCCAAATCGCTTAAGTAATATCCGGCTCGAAGGTCCATTAAATAATGTGGAGTGTTTGTGAGTATTAATGAAATATTAAGAGAGAAAAAAATTGTAAACCATGTTTACAAAAAGAACAGAAAGGAATAATTATTTTTACAATATTATTAATTATTTTTAAATCATCAGCTGTTCTAAACAGGCTAAAGAAAAAATATTAGGTGAAAGAACTGAACACTATATACTAGACAAAATTCCAAAATCATATGATAATTTACTTATTTATTATTTACATTTCTATTTATTTAATATTTGTTCTTAACTGTGATCATGGCCTAAGAGCCGAAACATGTAAGTTTATTCAATAAATTAATAACTTAAGAAAAGGGTACTAAATGTTTAATTATTTATTTCATTTATTAATTATATATATATTTATATATGTGTCCGTTGGCGCGATAACTCGAGCAAAAATCATCCGATTTTGATGAAATTTGGTACAAACGTACAAACCTACGTTTATTCGAACGAGTTCGCGAACCAGCATGATCGGACTATGGGAACAGGGGTTTATGGGGGGTTTTATGGGGCAAAAATTGGTTTTCCCATTTTTGACCCTAAAAACTTAAAATTTAGCATTTTATTTTAAAACCATTTTGTAGATCTTAAAAAAACAAATAATTTAGTATATTGAAGCGTTATTATGCACCTAATGGTTACGGAGAAAATAAAAAAAAAATGTAAATTTAAAATTCCCATCTTATTGTTATGGAGAATAAGTAAACTGTTGTAGTTTGCTTGTTTATGATCATATTTTGATCAAATTTGGAAAATGCATTCATTTCATACTAAACTGTTAACATTTTACAAAAAAACACACCTTTTTACCCTCCCTGTTGCAGCAAACCTAAGTACCTACTCGTTAAACTAATGTTATTTAAATAGGGAATAAATGTGATATTTTTGAGGAGACATTTTTAGTGTAAATCCAATCAGGCAAATGGAAATTCGCTTAGTCTGCAGGTTTGCAGCGGCGGGGGTATTCTATTAATTTCTTCGTTCGTTATAAATGTATGTATGTATTTCTCCATGTAATTAGACTGGATGGTTGGGGTGAATGAATAGACTAAATAATGTTTCCAATAATACCACTTTTAATGGAGGGTATTAAAAAAGCGATTTATTATAGTTGTTCATAAACAAAGTAACCAATTTATGTCTTTGACATAAGCTACAAACAGGCGTACAAATACTTAAAAAACCATGCAATATGCAAAACGTGAAGCATATTCCTAAAAATATCTACCTGCATGACAAGCTCAGTGGTGGGATGCGGCTGTCTGTCAATCTCTGAGGGTAAGTTGTTGTCCTCAACGGTGGCGAGGGGAGGAGCTCCTAGGTCGAGGGCCGAGGCCGCCACGCCGAGGCCGCGACACAGCGCCACTATCGCCACCAACACCACCGCATCCATCCTGGCTACTGTTCCCTCCTCCGACCTGATAACTTATATACTTCCAGCACATTGTTCCCGCCGCTTTTTGTCGCTTATCACTCGATAAGAGAGCGTCGCACACTGGATTTTCACGCGTCACTTTTACTTTTCTTACAGGAGTGGGAAGGTAAACAACAGGCTGATTGTGACAGTGACAAGACAGTTTTGGTGTATAGAGGTTTTTATTGACTGACAGCTATGATAACGATTATTTAAAAATTATAAAAAGAAATTTTTGATTCTGTACGAGTTTTATGTTGTTCCGTAGGTTTACTCTTTGGTGGACTTTTCTTTAGTGTGCAGTCAAAACTTCATTGAAGAGTGGTGCGACCTCAAGTGTGGCGCAAACTCAAGTGTGGTGCGACCTTTAGTTAATGTCGTCAGGAACAAGTCTTTCATTGCATTATTGCTTCTTTAGCCACAGTGCCTCCACAATTACGACTTAAATTACTTAAACCTTTATGAACAATTGTGAAAAAAATGCTTCTAAAAAGGAGTTTTAGTTTTTTAAGCATGATAGTTTTATTATTTGTTAAATTACCATGAAAATAATATATGCAATTTTTTTGATATGTTCAAAATACTAACTACTCTAAATAGGCCTCTTCTCAAAAGCTCGCCCAACAGAAATGTAATGCTTACCAAATAATACTCCAAAAATCGGTATACAATTATTGATAAACCTGCAGTTGGAAGAATTTCCTATTGTTAATAAGGACTCAGGAAAATTACAGTCAGTTGGGTTTTAAAATTACTACCATTATACATAAGCATTATTGCTGGCGTAAAAGTCAGGCCATTTTCTATAACATTTAAATTTAGCTAAAATTATTTCTTATTCTTCTGAATGGAGTCGAACTCTTTGGTTGTCTCCTAACGAGTCCACTAATCAACCTACACAGTGTCCTATTTTTCAGCAAATCAAGGGTTATAATTGAATGGGGTTTCTATTAGCAAGTGGCTTTGTTGGAAGACCATTGTTAGCATCATCACGTGCCTACGCACACTCACGTACACGTACACGGCGGCGCTGTTTGACACGATGATGACGACGCACGTACGTCGTACGTCGTACGTAGCTAATGTACTACGTCAACGTGCGACGTAGCTGAGCAGCAGCAGATGTCACTGCGACTGTAACCATTATATCACCGTCACGGACACGGACGCACGCCCTCCACAGTTAGATTGATTTGGAATCGGAAGTTATTTGATGGATTAATTTCTTTCTCACTCGCATGAAATGGAAATAAAAAAAGTGCTATTTCGTGCACGGTTTTTAACATAACACAAAATATCACAATAACCTTACGTAAATCGTTTGCATTTACATAATCAATAGTTTCTTTCAGATAGTGTAATTTATTTTATGTGGTTTTAACATTTACCATTTAAATTACAGGTTGTTTATAAAAGAACTTTACAATTTAGCCATCCTCTAATCATCTTATAATATACCATAGCGTAGGGTGTGTAGTGGTTCATTGACACCAAGTATTATGTTGTTCAACGGAGATGTTGGCCAAGATACATTAGGAATCCTCCTTTAAGGGCTACAATTCCCTACAATTTTCTTCTTATTTAACATTAAGTTTATGAACACTAAAGTTTGCATGACAATAAAGGAAACGGATGACCCCGTGTCAGCGATAAAGATGTGCGGCCTGTTCAACAAACATTATTGTCAATAGTTAAAAAAAGACCATGTGCGGCATGGCATGATGGTTGAATCCTTAACACACTTCCGTACTTAAAATCCTAAAATTACTTAAATTCCGTGATTGCAAACTTTAAATTTAGCTGAAATGAAATGTCTAATTTTAGTTTGTGTTTGGTACAAACTTAGGTTTAGATTTGATTATTTGCGTGAAAATAATGGCAAACACAATTGAAGTTGGGAAAACTCTTTATTATGTACCAAAACTTGAAACGATTTTCTGTCTTTGGTAGTGATTTCATAGCTTTAAGTGGAAAATAAAAGTATCAAGGTTGTTTTTTTAAAAACACCCTGTAATACTATACGAGACTAGCAGAGTTTACTCCGCTTAAAACCTCATAATCAAAAGATCGCCAGAGAAAGGTCATATCAATTGCATTTACGGTTAACAAAATGTGTTCAGCTGTTGTTGACTATTGAAAATTCAATAAATCCTGGCTCAAAATGGGTTTAATTGCCCAAAGGGTTTATGAGACCAAAGGGTTTTCAATCCAAAAGCTACAGAGAACACCTCTCTCCAATTGACATTACGATTGTAACGATACAAAATATTACTTTTTCACGAATACTAGAATATAAATGGTAGGCCTATGGATCATAAAAATAAACAAATTATGATCCTGGCCGAAAAGTAAGCATTATTTATCATTGCTTAAATGTAACTGTCTAAACCATATACAGTATGTTATTGTTATTAGTATTATAGGATTCGGGCCTATAACGTCATTTTTATGGTATGTCAAAGATCCATACCACTTTCTGTTCTAATATTCGTGTTTTTTTTACAACAAGGCAATGAGCATTTCAATTTATTCTTTAATAGCTAGGTACCCTAAGATGTTTTCTTATTTCCACCTCAAAGGACTTTTATCGTTCTAATGATGAAATGTAGAACACAAGCTCTTGGTGCAGATAACTAACTACAAGTACATCTAAATTTCTTTTGGCGTTCAATTCATTCCTATCCCACAACCACTGAGGACTCTGGAGTCGAATGGTTTTATGATAGCAATGCCAAGGTGGACGATTCTATTGAAAGGTTAAAAATCGTCGATGCTACGGTATGGCCAATTTTAAATTACCTAACATCCGTGACCGAGGAAAGTTAGGGAGTCCTTCGCTGGGTCTATTACCACATCATACCGTTTGATAGCTGAAACTACCGATATCCTTCATAGTAATATTTCGTCTTATTCTTCAACCTTATTATGTCTTTTTATGTTGATGGTAAGAATATATTATGGACGGTATTTTATGAACTGTTAATGATACATCTATAGCTTGTTGCTATTGTTTATATAAACCTATAACATACCTATAAGCCATTTTCTTCAGTTTATTAGTTGTGGACTAATCATAACGAACAAATTTGCATGAAGCAGTTTTCTTAGACGCACGTTTAACAACCAAAATTAAATTTGGGAACAATATCAGGATTCAATCGCTATCAACTCATCATTCACGCTTGACCAAAACTGGATTAAGCTTACATGATGTCATCGTCTTTATTTCTAATGCTCAATTCAACCTCCAATTCAAGAGTCCAGAGAGATTAAATAGTTTGGTGTCAACCCGCAAATAAAGAGTACTATCTCATCTTCCCCACTGACCTCCATAGAGAGTAGCTTATTAATGAACACTACTTGGCTCCCTATAGGATATCCACACTCGAGCGTGACCACGTGAAGTGCGTGGGAGCCTCCACGCTCTACAGCTGATGACATGATAACAGTGACGTGATAACAAAGACCGCGATCCTGCATGATTGACCACGTGTAGCCTCGGACATGGGCACATACTTGGGCTACTTGTGATTTACTTGAATTACAGCATATCTTACACGTCGAAGCATATATAGTAGTAGAGCTAGTATTAGATTATGTCTTTCGCTGCTAGTCATATTATATACGTAACAAGATTAAACACAATTAAACTCAATTTAAATTTCTTCCACCGAGAATTCCACTATAGGCTTAAACCATTATGGAGGAACTCAAATGTTAACTATGAGACACCACGACCACTAAAATTATTAACCCCATTCAACCAATATTCTGCTTGATATTCCTCTCTATGCGTACTATAATTTGAATTGGGTTTTCTATCTTAAGGTAAGAGGTAATCGATAAAAGTATTGTTCAATACAAGAAAAATATGAGACAGAAAATGGTCTTGACAGCCGAACTAAAAGCCTCTATAGTAAAGAATAACAAATAATAAATACCACCAACGCAGTAAACCTGCAATCTAATCCCATCAAATGTAAACAAACATTTTCTTCATAAGAATAACATGGGAACTTTGAAGGCCACTGGGGCTGAGCCCTGATGGAATTCCAATTTTTTTTGTTTGATTGCAAAACTACATGCTAAGACCTGTCTAACGACACCTTGGACATGGTCACCGGTAGCACCACCGCTCCAAAACAATTATGACCAAAAAATGCCTAGAGTATTAAATATATAGATTTGGAAAAGCTGTATCAATAATTATCCATCATAACGAAAACATGCGAATGCCTGAAATTTGAATGTATCAGTAAGCAAAGGCCCATGAGAATGATATAAGCTAAATTATATACTAAGATTGCTTTCATAGAAGTGAAAGCCAGTTGAGCGGAGCAATCGTGTTTCATTGTAAAAAAAAACAATAAATGAAAAAAAAATTTTGTAGATATTATAATAAATGTTTCCACACTCTGCACTAACTAACCTTCACTAATCTGCACCTTTACTAATTTCTTCACCACTCCCCTTTGAGTTTAGGTAGTGGCTTGATTTAACATATGCTATGATTCTTTGTTTTGTTTACATTTACGTGTTATTTTGTAACCATCATGACAACCCATAAGGCCAATGTTAAAATTTAAATACGTTGAGTTACTATTAAACTATATAGGCAATATCAAAAATTAAAATTGGTTACGTCCAAACACTCCAAACATTTGACAAAACAACCTTGGCAAGTTTGGCTAAAGTATGTTCAGCCGTTATTGAGATTAAGTGTTATAAAGATTGCATTGAAGTTGATCCTAAAGAGTTTCGTTTCGCTCCGCTCAATTAAACATTTTGAAATGAAGTATGAAAGGCAAAATACAATTTTGAGGTACAATCCCCCCACATAAATTCCCTTTTCCCAGGTCGGATCAGGTTGGTTTTTGAAAATCTCTTAATAGAACCTGGGTTACAAATTTTATTTAGGCTTGATCCAAGTATGCATTTTTATGGACGCCTCTTAATAACAAAAATAGTTTTAATTTAAT